AAAGCTACTACTACCACCTTGACTGTTGCTTTGAATATGGAGAACCGAGCTTGCGGTTGGACTATTGATGCTGTTGGCTTGATAGCTCAATCCGTAACCAACAGGACAATGTTGCGTCTGATAACCAAGATGGTTGTCGATATGGCCATTGTGGTATCCCATTGGCTGCGAGATAGGGTGCGTGGCTGTATGCATAACAGGCTGGTTGTTGAATTGATTGAATTGCTGATTGACGGCAAGGCTCATAGCAATATCTACAGGCTGAAGAAGAGGCTGCTGACTCTGGTGGTTTGGATTTCGATTGGCTGGACTTCTTCGACGATTATTGGACGACTGGTTTGGAGACTGCTGACCGAGTCTGTTGGGTGAAACATTGTTGGAAAGGGCTTCTGGGCGCGTTTGAACGTTGATAGGTCTGGCTTGGCCTACGGTGACTATCGTAGAGTTATTGGCGAAATTTGAAGCTGGATATGTTGAAGAGGGGCCAGCAGGAGTGAGGTTGGAGGATGGTGTGGTGTTCAGGGTCGAGCTGGATGCCGTGCCTGCTAAAGTCGTGGTAGACTTGTCCTCGGCTTTCTTTGACCTTTTGAAGAACATGATGCAAGTTGAATCACTGTTCTAGCAGCAGAAAGAATATAACATACATAGATAGATAGTCGAAAGGTAAGAAAGTATCACTGCGACTCCAAGCAGAAATGATAATCATCTGAAAGTCATGAAGACCAGCCTCCGCGCGACGCTTCTAGAGTAATTTAAACGATTGATACCTATTTAAAGGATATTCGCCGTCCATATATTAGTTTTCTTAAGTCATAAACATTCTTGATCGGTCGGGTACGAAAAGACCGCCATAACATCCGGACGTATCAAATGTAGCGAGACGCCTGTTGGTCATTCAAGCAGGCCAGTATGTGTGTTGGTACTGCTGCGGACTTGCGGCACTCACCCTAGCTTGGCCAAATGGATCTCAGTACCAAAGGCTTTAATTCGTCCTAAACAAATAAGCGCTGTTGAAGAAATTTAGCGCGCGACTGGCTTGATAAAGTTAGAAGTTGTGTTGTTGGTTCAATGGGCACCGGGCCGCGACCCCACCAACAAGACAATCGTCTCATCCCGAGCGAGGCCGCCTGACTCTGAGAAAACAAGAGAAACCCAGTTCCACGTTCAAATTCATTGTCAAAGTCTGCAATGCTTTGGGGGAGAAGTCTTCTTTTCGTTCCTTCGAACATCTCTCAGTGCCTTATTCTCTCTCATAACATTCACGATGACGAATACCGAGAACAATTCTGGCGACATTTTGCCGCAGCACGAGCCTTTGAAACCACTCAAAAGCACCATTGTCCACGGCATTGATTTTCGGGCACTTTATGTACATGGAATGCTTCCTGAATTCGAAGCATTATTCAGCAACTTCATTGAAGCTCTGGACTCCCTCTCTGAAGACAATCTCAACGATAGAGCTACGAAACTGGCTTCGGAGTGTCAGATGCTGCATCCGTCACATCCCAATGGTATTCGAGGCTTCGAAGTTGGCGCTTTCTTCATGCACTTTTGGACTTTTTGTCACCTCGTCGCCCGATGTATGCCTCATCGCCACATTGGTCAGAAGCTTCTAGTACAAGTTTTTGTCGACCTTGACGCTGCAGGCCAGGTAGGTTACTCCGCCTTCTTTGATTGACAGTGGCTAAACTGATGAACTTGCAGCCGAGCAACGAAGACTGGAAGGGTCTTCCTGACTTGGACATGTTTACGAGAGAAGACTGGATTTGTGAGTTCCAACCACCTTTCGGCTGTGGGTACGGAGGCTTACTGCCAAACCAGCGCCAACCTTCGCACGTGTAAAAAGCGATGAAGAGGTGTACACTTTGCAGCAGTGGCTCAACTTCAACTCTTTCGTTGCTCGCCACTCTGGCACTGGCTTTCCGCGTGGTCTCAACTTCGCTGTATGGGAGATTAGGCATGGTCTCGAGGAGCCTCTACAAGAGCGACCAACGAAAGACAGCCGACAGGCCCTCGGATTTGAACTTAGCCACGATGTCGAGCAGTTACTAGATGAGCCCCGAGATGATGCTGACAAGCGAGCAGAAAGTCATACATTGCCACTGGGACCAGAAGAAACCCACAGGATCGCAGTCGCGGCTGAATGGCTGATTCACGCGCCCTCGGTCCTTCTCCGGGAAGCGCTATCATGGGGCTCTCGACCCCTTCTAGATGATCTGGAGAGGCGCGTATTTTGCACTGGATCTCTGTTTGATGGAAATCCTGGCCTCGACCTCGAGCGTTGGGGTTTCTGGAAAAGACGGTTGAACGGACTAAGTAGTCGTCTTGGAAACGACGAAGAAACCAGGCAGAGTGTGGACGAAGCGGTGGCGAGCATGTCGGCTGCTGAGTGTTCTGCTGCTCAACAATTGTAGATCACCTTGGTTGGTGGACTCTACCTAGCTAGGTAGGGTCTTTTTGCCTCGGTGACAAAGGAACCTAGACCCCGATTGTACGATGAGGAGCACCTGATGTGATCTACCAATGCTCTCTTTATTTAGATCCTCCCTTCCACGTGGAGGAGAATTTGCCAACCACATCACGTACGGTCATGTCAGATGAGACAGTTGAGACTCGAAAGACTCAAGCGTGGCTATGTGGGCCTCGATCCTGAATCGCAACGAAGTAATTATCAGATCTCGGCTAGGTAGCCAATGCCAATCACAGTAATGAAGGAGCCGCATGCCTTGAAGTCTTGTTGGAAAGCGCATTGATCACAAACATATTTCACCACTCTAAATTCTGCCTCCAATAATGTGGGCATTCTTCTTTAGTCATGCAAATATCTGGGGTGCCTTGTAAGAGGTTTTTCCGGTACAGCTCAAGCCTCTTGAGCTAGGTAGCAAATTCGCGCTCAATGTCTAGCGTTTATCCCGCTCAAGCCGAGATAGAACGTCTCTTTTAAGCCGCCTCTTGCTATCCATACGGATGATGCCACTTAACGTCGAAGCGATGAGACTGTTTTACCTTGTCGTTCCTGAGCCGCGGGGTGCATTCTTTATAACTAACTATGCTCCGATGCTGCGACCCCGTACTGCCTAATATGGATCAGGATCGCCCTGTTGTCTTGATCGTCTCAGCTCAGCCAACGCTCCGGCCGGGCTGGAACGTCCGAAGATTAATGTGCGGCTCGGCGCGCTACAAGCGTCTTCAGGCACCCAAGACAAGACCCAGAAGTTCTCTCAATTATTCACTTAAGCGGGCCCTTTCGATCTTTGAAGTATCTTGGCTTGGGTTGTGCCAAGAGCCTTCGGGTTGTCCCGCCGGGCTAATGCCAAGTTAAGTACCCTTTAAGTATGTCTGAGACAGAGTCGATATGTGTCAAGTTTGGCAGATAATTGGTATGGGGCTTACATCCCGGAATGTCAAGACCTCCGCATGAAAGTAAGATCTGGTCATTTGTGAAATTATCGCCAGCCTTGCAGAGTTGGAAACAGTGGGGAGTGGCCTAGACAGCGCGTGTCTGGCACACCGCAGCAAGTGGCGCGCCCCAGCAAGTTCAGCAGGCAGGAGCTGACATTGAAACAACATCCCCGTGGGGCAGGCTGTTACAAGCGGTGTAGAGGCGTTGCCTTGGCCATATAAAGTATTCAATACGATCATCGGTTCAAGCATCACGTTACTATCCCTTGACTACATCGAGACACGTCAGCTCATCGTCTCAGCTTATAGTCTCAGCTACTCAACCAGATCGAATGTAGTAGTAAGAAGTAACTTGAGAGATCGTGAGAAGATCGTTTGGACAGCCTTGTTCCAGATGAACTGGGAAGCATGTGCTTCGGACTGGAAGCCCTTTTGCTTGTACAAAGGAGTAGAAGTCTAGGAAAATCCTGTGAAGAGGAAAAGTATATAAACAGGTTTGCTTCCCGACTTTCCAACGTTTCTGATCAGCTTACCAACAGCATCAAGAAAACATCAGGCCTCAAAACCACCACTGTCTCTCTTTCATCCTTCTTCTCTCCAACTTTGTCTCTCTTTAGACCAAACTCAAAAACCTATCACAATGCGTTTCACCGTCGCTGTCGTCGCTTACTTCGCCTCAGTTGCCCTCGCTGCCCCCGAGGGCCTCTCCACTCGAGAGCAAGACCCCGAGGCCGTCATTGACCCCCTCGAGGGCAAGGCCGAGCTCCTAGCCGCCACCAACGCATCTGCCCCTGACCTCGTGTACGCCGGAGTCCTCGGCAACGGTCTCCTCGAAGGCTTCGTTGACCCTTCCGTTCCCGTCATCGACGCAAGGGACCTCGAGGGAGCCGAGCTCGATGCTCGCCAGGGCTGCGGCGCCAACACCGTGAACTGCAGCAACCAGAACCGGGCCCGCACCGGAATCTGCGGCCGCCTTCTCGACATCCTCGGCGGCCCTGACTTCGTCAACCGGGGCCTGCCAGCTGCCAACTTTTGGTGCTGGTCCGATGTCCACGTCAGCACCAACAACCGCTGCTGCATCAGCTGGAATAGACGTGTTGGCGGATCTAGGACCCATCACTTGTTCAACGCTGCCGTCAAGACTTTGAACCGCTGCAAGACAAACGCTCTCGTCTCGGGATGGTCGCCTGATGTCAAGCTTGGCACTACCTGTGTTAAGCAGTGCCTTTCCAACCGACCCAACGGTTGCTAAGGGGTGTCTCCTCAACGATGTGCGAGAATTCGCCGTTAAACTCAAGAGGCTTGGGATGAACCGGATCAGCCTCACAAGACGGTTAGAATACTTGCCACGCTCGCCCACATTCATTATGTTTTGGGGGATGACTTCAAATTGATGGCGGGGGAAGGTACGATGTTGCGATTGATATTGAGTTTGAAAATTTACTTCTTAACGCGACTTTACCTTGTACACGAGGTAGAGTTATTTGATGAATACAGATTGGTGCTGCTGCTCAAGTTGTCAAGTCTTGGAATTCGCGACAAGATGTGATTCGCTTGATTATACGTACAGGCCCAAACAAAACTATTCTAGAAATGCACTACAGATGTCTAGCTATGGACACTTCAACGGCACTCATCTTTCCCAACGCTTCGTCCACATTCTTCTCCACCTCCTCATCTCCAAGTAGACTCCTCAACTCCCCCAGCCGTCGTTTCCAGAAACCCCACCTCTCAAGATTGAACCCAAAAGTGCCTGGAAACAACGGTCCCGCCCGGAAGACCCTCTGGATTGAGTCATCGAAAGGGCCGCGAGTGTGCCAGACAAGGCTTTCCTGAAGCAATGTTGGTGCCGCTTGGATGAAGAACTCCGCGGCGACGACAACCCTCGTTACCGCTTCGGGACACAGCGTCTTCCCACCTGCCGCCGCATTGTCCCCAATCTTCGCAGATGCCTCATCTAAGCCTTCTGACTTTGCACTCGGCTGCGCGCCAGCGAGTTCGTCTTCGTGTATCGGCTGATTAGCCACGGAACTCGAAGGGCCCCCCTCCGGCCTGTTTTCCTCCCTCCATATGAGCTCCCTCTTAGCTCTTAGCTCCTTCTTTCTTTTCAGATTCTTCTCAATCATCTCCTTCCGTTCTTCTCTCACCCTGGCCAGATCAAGTTCGAGCTGCTCCAGATCCTCCTCGAGACCGAAAGCTACCGACCACAACACCAGGTTCATTCCTCGCTGCGGCCCGCTCCCAACGAGGCGCGCAAGCCACGAATTGAAACTAAGCCACTGCTCCAAGGTGTACATTTCATCGCCGGTAATGTCGTCGTCTGTAGGATCTACGTTTCTCGACTGTCAGCAACACACTGGATGGTAGTCTCGTGCAGGGGCGGCTCACCGTTGAAGTTTTCCCTCAGCGTCTGTCCGAACTCAGGCAAGTCCTTCCACTGCGGGTTCTCAGTCTGCAACTAGATCAGCCTTGGAAGATCAACACTCGGTATCATTGCAGGGTCATATCACCTGCCCGATCCTCTCGAGTTCCAGCACAACGTCGGTGAGCAGTCGCTGCCCAATGTGTCGATATGGCACGCAGCTGACCGTGAGCACATAAAAGTCCCAGAAGGCCCACATCTCTATTCGCTGGCCAGGCTCGACTTCATTCTTCACACGTTCAATGTAGGCAACGTGTGCTTTTTGTGCTTCAGTCACGACCTCCTGCGTCCTGTCCTTCAAAGTTTCTTCTGACAAACCGTCGAAGGCTTCCATGATCTTGAAAAACAGGTCGTCATATTCCGGCTCTACGTCGCGGTAGAAGAGTTTTTCGAAGTTGATGCCGTGATAGACATCGACTGTCTCAAACGTCTGCGGCTCGTGGTGCCCTTGCGATCTTTTGTTGTCGGCGTTGGAGGAGGCCATTTTGCTGGTTTGGCGCCAGACAAGGTTAAGTGGGAAAATCGGCATGGGCTCAGAAAGGAAGAAGAAAAGGGGGGCAAGTGGGTTGAAGGGAAGTGATGAGAGAATGAATTATGAATGTGAAAACCCAACGACCGCACTTCTGGCACCGTCTTGGTTTATGAACCTGTGAAGGCGGCAGGAGCGGGAGCCAAGTTCAATTGAGGAGAAGCCTTGTCGGTTGGTGGAGATGTTAACCGCCGCGGTTCGCACTGAACCAACAACGTGACATCCAACTACTGCACAGTCGCGCGCTAAACCCTTGCAAAGCACCCTGTCCCGAAGGCACAGTTTCCTTCATGGTTCTAATGATAAGGTGGGCGCCAATCAGATTCCCTCCCTGCAACAGCGTTGTCTACCAACACTGTTGGAACGAGTCTGGCGAAATCGACAAAAGTATTGTTGCAGAAATACTGTTGGCCTTGTAAATCGACCTCGCGGCGTCTCACCATGGTCTAAACTTACAACATCGTTGTGGCGATCTCTTCGATGGCGGCCATGGCATCACGACATGAAACCCACGGCATCTAATAATACAAGACGACTTACACGTAAATGAGAGTGCATTTATGCTGCTCGGGACCTCATCAAGTCAGATACAACATGGTCAATACATGAAGACATTCGTTGACAACACTTTGTTCTTCTCATTCTGATTCTTTCACGCTCACTTCCGTTGACACTGCTGGTTTCAGTGCCTTCAAACTCATCATGGCCTTCTGGAAAAGAAAGAACAAGAACAAGACGCCTAGCCCGTCTCAAACCACAGCCGGTTCTTCGCCTCCATCTACATCAACATCCGCTGGAATCGCGCCTCAATCCAGGCCTCCTCCTTCACCCAGCCCAGGTCCTCGTACTTCAGCTCCTCATGCTCCTGTCTTGGCGAAACCTGTTCCCCTTTCTGTCCCACCATCATCATTTGGTCCAACCTCTCGGCCGACCACTCCCCGTATTCCTTCTTCAACCCCACTGGGTCCTCCAGCGGCTCGCCCATCTTCATCTACCCCGGCTTCTCGACCGATTACCCCACGCATTTCTGCCGCAACACCGCTGGTTCCTCCAGCGGCTCGCCCATCTTCATCCAGCGCGGCCTCTCGACCGATCACTCCTCGTATTCCTGCCGCAACACCGCTGGTTCCCCCTGCATCACGCCCTTCACCACCCGGTATAACTGCTCAACCCATCAACCCTCGTGGCCCCGTCAATAATCCAGCCCCATTCGTCCCGAATGCTCCCTCTGCACCCGCAGCTCTTCCATCTCACCCTGCCCCGCCGCCAGTTCCCCAGATAGAACCTATAGCCCCCTCAAAGCGAACACCGACAGACAGCTCATACGTAAGCCCGTTTCCCATCCACCCATCTACTCTTCTTCCATGGCTAACACCATCGAAACCTCAGTACTCCTGCTCCAACCTCCCGCCGTCCGACCAGGCCCGCTACCTCAAAGCCGCCGACGTGAGGCGCCAAATCGCCGGGGCTCCTCTCGAACAAATTGAAGTCCTGAGGACTAATAGACGCGGGCAGCAGTTTCCCGTACCCAGCGGATACCCCAAAGTGTTTGGCAATCGTGAGCGGCTTCAAGGGCTGCAGGCGGCCAGGCCGCTGACTGAGTACCCTGTCAAATCGACGGGCCCCTGGAACCCCCACGAACAACGCAGCATGGGAGCTGCGCGGGCACTCTACAACGCCAGCGACAAGACCAAGTTCGACGTCGTGTATCATGATCCGACAAAGCAGGGCGGTTTCGGTAGGGACATGACCGTGGCACCGTATCGGCCTGCGGTTAGTGTCGCACAGGCCAAAGCATAGGAGATGCAAATCTAGATTGCGATTTGTTTCAGTATTTTACAATTAGTTACGCCCGGGCAGCTGTACGTATTTCTGTCTATCTTCAAGTACTCCATCGACTCAAGAAAAACATTCCCAAGCGATAGACCTGGGACTCGCGGCTCGGGAACTTGTGTTAGTCCGCGTGTACGTTAATGACCGTAGATAGTTCAAGAGTTAAGCATGTCAAATTGGCCCTTTTAGCTGCACACTACCTAACGCCAGTACCTGCACCCCATTACCCATCATAGCAAGCTTTACAACAAAATGAAACCTCGGAAATACGTGCAGGACCCATTTCCAATACACCTGTTCATAGTGCCGCAACTACGCCGAGTCCTGTGTCGTTTTCACCACATCTAATACCTCAGTATGATCTCGCGGTTGCGTACGCTACAGATGATCGAGCTTTACATCTTGACTCGGAACAGGTAGCGGAGACGAACTTGAGCCACATCGTAGACGATGAATTCATTGTAGTAGAGGCCTGCATGTTGGACGTTGGTGTCGCCAGGAGTGACGGTCGTGTCAGGCTACAGGTAGGTTAGCACAATCTGCTCAACGATGATGTAACGACAGCAAAAAGGATGCAGCCGCGAACTAGTAGTGACTTACCATCTGAATGCCCTTAAGTGAAGGGTGAACGGCGCTGGCGTCCATCCACTTGCTCGGGCCCGTTCTGCCCTGGCCCCAAGTCGAAAGCATACCGCCGGCTTTAGCGCTGTCACCTGCGTTGTAGCTTGCGTTGGTGAGCTTCTGGATCGGGTCGCCAAGCTCGGCCTCGCAAAGGAGGAGGAGTGCCTCGCCTCCAGAGCTGTACGAGTTGCAGTAGTTGGCAGACTTAGATGACATGTCTGCGAGGTAAATACCCTTTCCGAACATGTATCCGGTGACGGGGGCCTCAGGAGGGGCGATTCGAAGACCTTGGCTGAGGATACCACCAAAGTTTGTGACACGAGAGCCGTGCCAGAGAAGACGTCGGTCTGACTTCAGATTCGGGATCTTCTTCTTCTCGAAGCGTTCCAACTCGCCGTTGCGCTCGATGCGAAAGATTTCTTGTACCCTGTAGTTAACATGGTGCGTAGAGCCCTTAGAGCCGTTCAGATAATCTGAAAGTAGGCTGAATTCCTTGCTCTTGTGGTCGAGAGGAGTCATCTCGTTCATTCCCAGGCTTCGGTACTGGGTGTCAGCGGGGTGGACATTGGAAATGGTCTTGCGGTCGATCTTCATAAGATCGGAGGCAGCCTTCATGTCCGACAAGCTCTCGAGGAGGTCGAGTTCCTTCTTGAGCATGTCCCCGGAACTGATGATGGGCGGGCGGCGGCGGCCGAAAGCGTGAGGGATCAAAGAATAGAACTGGTTGGACAGATGCTCAGTCGCGGCGGCGACGGTCATTGAATACTTGGAGTCGGCAAGTGACGGGTCATTGATCAAGGCACTCAGGTCCTTGAGCGACTGGAAACCACGAAGAATGGTGTTCTTGCTGAGCTTTCCAAGGGGCAGCTTATTAGCATCATAGTCCATGGACGACATGGCTGATGCGAAGTATCCCATGTTGAAGATGAGACCCATGAGCTCCTGAACGGGCTTCTCCAAGGTGCAAATCGCGTCAGGCTTCTTCTCGTCGGCGTCCTCGGTCTTGACGGTGCCATCGGCATCATCGGCGTCATCGGCACCTTCATCGTCGGAATCCTCGTAATTGCGCTCGATGTAAGCGTACTTGCCAGACTTGGGGTCGTTGGTGCGATCGGCCCAGCTCCATCCGCTCTTGTCCTTGAACTTCTTGTCGAATTGCTTCAGGGCATCATCCAAAGTGCCGTTGCCGAGGATCGCCTTCTGGCCATGGTCGCCAACTCTGCCCCATCGGGTCCAGGTCTTGTAGACTGACCCGTTTTCAATGAGCTAGCAAGGTCAACTTTAGTCCATGTACGCGAAAACTTGGCCCCATATGCAGACAGCAACATACCTGAACACGGTAGAACTTGTTATTGTTGTTCGAAGCGTTGGTCTGGTTCAGAGACGCGTCATAGATAGTACCATCGGGGGCGATGTAGACGGCGCCGGGGACGGTACAGCCTTCGTCAACGGGTACAACGATCTTCTTGCTAGGTTTGGTGGATTGGCCATCAGCGGCTTCCTTCTTCACATTGGTTTTCACGTCGGTCTTGTCGTCAACATCGTCGGAAGATGCAGCAGCAGCTTTCTTTCCCTTGGCGGCGCCATTGGCAGTAGTCTTCTTCTTTTTGGGCTCAGGAGGCGCGTCGCTCTCATTGTCAGACTGCGCGGCGGCGGCGGCGGCGGCTTTGGTGCGCTTCTTTCCGTTGGCCTTGGTGGCGGGGGCTGACTGCTGCGACTGAGAGGCGTTCTGTGAAGCACTGGCCTGGGACGAAGCTCCGTTCTGGGACCCGTTGGCTGCAGGAACAGGAGCAGGAACAGGGGTCTGCATTGGCTGGGGCATCTTGGACTGGCTGCCGCTGGTGATGGCAAAGTCGTCCTCAGGGGCCTTGGACCCCGTGGACTCGCATTCCTGGGCCCACTCTAGGCTGACGATGGGGATGTTGTTCTTCTCTGCGGCCGCGACCTTTGTGGTTTTCGCGTTGAAATCGCCTTGGGTGGTGATGAGGTGCGTCGTCTTCTTGGAGACAGATTTGGCGATGGTCGCGCCCAGCGAGGTCAGAAGCGACTCGATCTCGGCGCGCTTCTGGGTGAAAGTACCGCTGATGGCGATCGAGGCTCCGTCGAGGGGTTGAGCTTGAGCTGCTGGGGCTGCTGGAGCAGCAGCAGCTGTCCTGCCCGATCTTCTTGGGGGCATTGTGGGCGAGTGCGGAGAAGGGACAAGGAAAAGGGAGGGGCGAACGTCACAGGGATGACCGCTGGGTACGATTGGGTTCGATTGAGTGCAGTACGCAGCGCGAGGTAGGATAAGGGTGAAGATGAACGCAGAACGGGATGGACGAAGGAGAGGGAAGAAGGGATCGCGAGAATATATTTTATTTCTGTGTTGGTCAGAGAAACCCCCCGTCAGCCCGTACCTTTTCAACACGAAGATGGAGGAAGCTACCAGCGAGGGAAAGCGCGACCTGAGCTACCCAGGTAGGTGCTAGGGAGGTGCACGCTTTCAGCACCTTTCGTCACAA